TAGAAATAAGTTTCCCCATCATGAGGATTAAAAAAAATACCCAGCTTATTGAAGGCTTTTTTTCCTGCTCTGACATTCCCATGTTCTGCTCACGTTTGGATTTTTAAACATAAGTTCTTTTACTTCATCTACAAAGTTTCCAATTTGTGGCGTTGTCACATAATCCTTTCATGTTGGAGGAATGTAATCCCCAAGTTATTTGAGTCTATAGTATGCAATGCCTTCTACATTCATGCTCATTTCCCGGACTTGGCTGGCTGTGTTGACTTACGTGGGCGGGGTTGTGTGTGCAGCACCTGCTCCAGGTCGCCCAGCATGGTGAGGATCACCTCCTTATCCAGCTGAGCCGTTCCCTCACGAGGACCTCCCCCTGAAACCTCTTCCTCTGCCCAATACCCGCCGTCTTTCTCCTTGCCACCCCGTTTCCCACCACCCCTGCCCGCTGCCGGCTCCTCGTCTGAACGCCCGCTGCTGCCGTCTTCATCTGTTCCCCCTTCCTCCCTGGACGTCCGAGCTGGCTCAGTCCGTGGGTGGCCGCTGTATGACGCCCGCTGTGGCCGCCCGCCTGCGCCCGTGCATCGCCAAGGGACCGGGATGAGGGAGTGTTCTGACTGCGAGAGCACCTTGGTGAGGGAGAGGGACAGGGATCGAGCTCTTGTGCCCCGCACACCTCCGCCCCTTGTGACCGCCTCCTTTCTAGGGCTTCCCTGCAGGCTGCCTCCTGCCCGCTGTGTGGGGGATGAGTACAGTGAAGAGTTCTGAGGTTGTGAAAAATGAGGCGATGGCTCTCCAAGCTCAAAGGAGTAAACCCGCTGCTCGCCATCACTGAGCAGGGTCAGGTTTGTGAGCGAACGCTGCTTGATCCGCAGGTTGAGGTTGTCGGGGAGAGGCTGGGGGGGGCGTCGAGCTGGGCTGCCCCCCTGATACACCGAGAACTCTGCTCCTCTCTTCATCTCTGCTCACAGCCCCCCTCCCTTTTCTCGGCTTACCTTTCCAGCCTCTGGTGGCTCAGTGGGTGAAACTATACATGCAAGTGGATCTACCTGTGCATGGCTCTCTGTTTCCCATTTTGGCTGCGCTGTGACTGAGAGAGCAGATGGAGAGAGGGAGGAACCGGTGGACGGAGAAGGCAGAGAGATGTGTCCCCGCGTCCCACGCCTCCCGACTGAGGTCCAGGATTCAGAGGTCTGGAGAGAAAGCAAGCACTGGGCGAAGAGCGGAGAGAAAAGCTCCCTCTCAGGCATGTAGGTAGAATCCAGATCCATCCTTGAGCCAGCCCATACTCATGGTCAGACGCTGAGCCAGACTCAAGCACTTATTTCCACCACTCCGTCTCCTGTCCTCATGCTTTCTCTCTGTCTTCTTGGCTCCTTTCTCCTCCTCCACCACAGTCAGGGGCGTGGATGAACGAGTTGCTACATCTCCCTCACTAGCACATCCTCCCTGCCTTCTGCGCTCACACTCCCTTTATCTATCCCCCTATTAAATGACAGTCTCTTTCCCCTTCACTCTTATCTCTCTCCCTCCACCTTCTGTATCTCCATTAATTACCACCTCACTGCCACACTTCTTCTGCCTCCCCTCTGACTCTCTGACGGTCCTTCTCTCCTCACAGCAGAGAATGAACGGGCGGTGAAGCCGGCGAACAGGCTCACATAGCTCTCGGTCTGCTTGTTCATTCCAGCATGCAGCCTGCAGTACGCTCTCTCTCTCTCTCTCTCCCTTAGCCCTCCTTCTCTGTGTTTACCACCCTCATTTTCTCCTAATCCTCTAGTTCTCTCACTTTCTGTTAACTAAACCCCTAACCCCTCCTCCTCCTCCTCCTCCCAGCCGTATCTTTTCTCCTTCACATTATCTTTCACTCTCTCTTTCTGTCTCTCCATCTTTCCCTCACAGTGTGACAGTGAGTTGTTTGGACAGTGCACCTGTAAGCTTGCAGCCTCTGCTGCACCACGCTGACCGCCTGACTTAATTAAATGCTATCTTGAGGAGCTAAAACAGTGAGCCCGCAGCTTATCGTGGCTCAACAATGAGACCACAGAACCAACACATCCCCATCAATCAATGGTAGCTTTATTAGCTCTGTCCATATTAGTCACAGCTGTCTTCCACACATTTTAATCCTAGTTACCAATAGTTACAGTGGTGTGAAAAAGTATTTGCCCCCTTCCTGATTTCCTTTTTTTTTGTTGCATGTTTGTCACACTGAAATGTTCCAGATCATCAAACAAATTGAAATATTAGACAAAGATAACACAAGTAAACAAAATGCAGTTTTTAAGTGAAGGTTTTTATTATCATGGGGGGAAATCTAAACCTACCTGGCCCTGTGTGAAAGTGATTGCCCCCCTGTTAAAACATAAATCAACTGTGGTTTATCACATCTTTGGAAAGCTGAGTTCAATTTCTCTAGCCACACCCAGGCCTGATTACTGCCACACCTGTTCTCAATCAAGAAATCACTTAAATAGGACCTGCCTGACAAAGTGAAGTAGACCAAAAGATCCTCAAAAGCTAGACATCATGCTGTTTGATTCAATTTGTTTGCTGATCTGAAACATTTCAGTGTGATAAACATGCAAAAAAAAAAAAAAAAAAAAATCAGGAAGGGGGCAAACACTTTTTCACACCACCATAATAGGGACTGGAAGCTGTTGCCTCAGAAAAACATAATTAAGGTTTATGGAATTGTGTATTTACACTGTGAGTGACCCATCTGCAGCAAAACAGACAGATAAAATTAATAGTAAAAAAAAAAAGTAAAGTAAATTAATAGTAAAAGTATTTTATGTAGTTCTATATAGTTATATAGTGCTTGTTTGATGTGTGGATATTGTCACATCTGACAGTCTGTATATGTAAAATGAGTAGGCTTGTCATGTGGTGTTTGCGGTGTGCGTACGCTTGAACTTTGTTCTCAGAGACTCATTTCTGCCCCTCTTTGGAGAAAGAGTCGGAAAAAAAACGAAGGATGTGAAACGACCATGAAATGTGTGACAACAAAAAGCAAGTGTTTTAAATGGACCCCAAACAAAGGGAATGGTCAGCTGCGCAGGCTAACTTTATCCTTCAAATGAGGGGCTTCGGAAAAGCCGCGACCAAAGCAAAATGTTTGGAATGTCCCTGCCAACTTGACATCCCCAAACCCGTAATCACGCGCTGTTGTTTGTGCACGCTGGGCTTTATAGGCGGTTTGAACTTGACATCTTATTTTTCATCAAGTTAGCCGTTTGATTTATCATCCAGACCTCGGATAGAGTTTCATTCCAAATTAAGATCTACACCATTTGAATCAAGTGGAATTCATCAAAGATTTAGCACCCTAAACACACAGTCAGACACAGCACCAAATTTTGACTGATGAATTATAGACACAAATCAGTAATGTAAAATGGAATGCACAGAGTTGTGACACTGAAGTCTTCTTTTGCAACTGGCAAAATCCAATTGAAACAATGGAATTTTCTCTGTGGAAACAGCTTGTGTTTTGATGATGTGTTGCCTGCTTTTAACGTCTCATCCTGCTCCTTGTCAGGAATTTAAGTTTGTGGTTAGAAACTCCTTTTAAACTGGTCAAATGTCCCTCGAACCTGACCTCTCAGCTGCAGAAGCTCAATTGCACAGATGTCCACTGGCTGTAATTAAAGGACAATAAAGACGCTGGCAGTCTTCCCTCTTTGCAAACCAACAGTACGATTTAATTTTAACCAGCAGTTTTCGGTGTAGTTGAAGAGGATCATACACTTCAAATATATACAGAATGAACCCAATTGAAGGGAATGTGTTCCTGTTTCTGAGTGATTTCAACCTCTTACCTTTACCAAATCAATTACTCTGTATCTTAAAGGCTTAAAACTCCTACTATACCCAGTTTTCCATGTGGTTTATGTGTGAAGTCCATCCATGTCTCCAAATAACTAACAGCATAAAGTCATCCCTCTGAGGCTGAAAACAATAAGTGGTGAGTATGTTCTGATGCCAATGTGTCACATGACTGGTTGTGATGCAACACAGGGATTGTAACAGATGATGTTAGCCTGCAGGGATGCAAGCAACGGGCTGCAGATGCTCCCTGTGTCCGGCTGTCAGCGCTGACCTTTCCCATTTGCTACATGAAACAAGCACGGAGCAGGAATCCCCCCAGTAAGCACACTCACCGAGAACACACTCACACAACAACTGCATGACACCAGTACAGCACGCTACACAGCAGTAGCCTTCTAAAACTCCCACATCCTGCACCTACCCTTTAACTATCCTCCATTAACACCCCCTGCAGCAGCTAATCCATAATGTAATACAACAGTCTTAATGTAAGCTAAACCGATTTTCTATTTCCCAAAGAGGGTAAACGCATCGTCTGAACAATTCCTCTCACAATGCAGAACAGCATTACAGCAACAGTCAGGTCAACACTGGGTAAATATCAACATGCCCTCTGCAACACCTCCTCATACCTAAACGACAGAAAAGGTAATTCGCCAGTGATTAGACACGTGGTTAAAGTTTTGAAACGGTCGTAGTTTGGTTAGGCTTAGGCAGAAAAACTACTTGGTTAGGTTAAGGGATTGGGTTGAAATAAATAAGTCATGTAACGTAACTAAGCTGGGGTAAAACTGCTGTGCTTGACTTTTGGTGAAATAACTTACGCACGTTAGTTAAAATAAGTCACCATTGGTTTTTGGTTTCACACAGGATACAAACCGCGGAAAGTCCAGTTCTTTACCCATCCATCCACCACAGCCTCCTCCTACGTGGACTTTGTCGCTCTTTCCACTACTTCACCTGCCTTCCTCCTCATTATTACTACAGCCACTAGGGGTCGCTGTTTAACAACAAACATGAATGTGAATGTGTGAATGTGAATAAGCTGCTTGCACAGACAACCTATACGGCCAATAGACAAATATTAATGCACAGAGGCATGTGCACGTTCACACGCCCACACAGAGAAATATCACATATGCAGAGCCCACAGCATGTGTGTTGACCTTCTGTACCTGATATCTCCTCCAGGCACTGTTTGGCTGTCTTGCTGTAGACCAGCTCTCCCTTGGTGGGGCTGAGGCAGGGGTCGGCTGGGGCCACCATGGTGCAGTCATTTTCTGAGAATGTCCTAAGGGCACAAAGAAACAAATTACACACGGCAGTTATATAAAGACAGGCTGAAATATCTGGTCAACTCAAGTTCGACTACAACCACTATAGTCATTTCATAGCAACCGTGGGGGGAGAGTTAACATTTGCCATGGTAATACATTACATAACATGTTAACAGATTTAACCAGTCCCTATTTCCCTCCTTCAAAACAAAACATTTTAACATAATCTTAACATTCTGATTGCTGGAATGTATGGGTTGAAAAGACCAGTAACTGTGATTTAGATCAGCAGCCAGAGTCTTCCCTCCTTCGCATCCAGTCTGTCATCTGTGTTTCTGCGATGTTAAACAAGAAAAGACTTTTGGTCAGTTTTGGTCTTAAGATGGACACCTCTAACGGGAGGAGGAGATGGCCTCTGATGAGGTGTTTTCTGGGAATGCCTCTGATTGTGTGTGTGTGTGTGCATGCATGAAGTATGTGTTTGTGTGCATATGCCTCTCCTCCTCAACCCTGAGCATCATGCTCCACTGTTTTGTTTGCCGATCTGAAGAAACAAGGAGAGCGTCCAACACACTTCGTGAGATAACAGTCCTACACACGAGCGCACAGCAAACGGCAAGAAAACACAAAACTGCATATGTGCTAACAGTCATGAACAGACAAACACAAGAAAATGCACACTGACAGGAACACACGCACACAATGGAAAGCCTGCATAGCACTTTCAAGCACATAACGCTTGCATACAGAAACACGCAGGCAGCTCTGAGAACTAGCTCCTGTATAGTATTCAATCCCTCCCATCTAGACAACACACTCCGGGGACCACCACCACCACCTGCAGAGCTGCAGATAAAACCTGGCTTCCAGTTGCGACAGCAGCATCAGCCTGTGACTTCAGATCATGTGAAAAAGCTTTCCCCCCCCTTTTCCTGCAAGCTTCCCTCACCTCATTGGATTCACAGACACATTCCCCGATACTCTCCGCCGCCGCTGCACACAACAATGTGGGCCCAAAATAAGAAAGCAGATATGTGGAGAAAATTAAGCCTGCCACTTTTAATGGGAAGGGTAACTTTATTAATAAGATTTAGGTAAAGCCTGTTTTCAATGTTTTGCTATTCTTTATTCCTGGTTACTCACACTGATGATTCAAACTGTAGCAATTTTGTGAAAGCATGTCCGTTTGTTGTTTCATTAACTTGTAAATATCACTGTAGATTTTCCATCGTTGCTGATTCTGTTTCTGAACTCGGGTCAGCTGAGGTTATGGAAGCAGAGGAGGACACAGGAGGATACGGTTAATGGCATTGCAAACACTTTGTGTTTGGGGGGGGGAGACACAAATCAATCCTGCACACTAACTGCAGCAAAGTCCTACAAACACACTGGTCTATTAAGACTTGGCAGAGGCAACGACTTGAAGTGGGCGTAGAAAGAGAAACCTCACAAGACAAAGATGCCTAATTGGGCTGAAAATAATGGTAAATTGCAGCACAGCGGGGGGCCTTTGCGCTTACTGTCTGCATGCTGGTGAGGAAGAACATTTGTAGCTAGAGAAAAGGAGGACGAAGACGGAGGCTTCAGAAACATCCTGCAAGGAAATATCTTGGCACAGAGGAAAAAGGAAGAGGGTTGACACGAATCTGCATGGTACTTCAAAGGCAAGAACAAGGTGCTAACACAACCAGGGCTTTCATACCCTCTTTGGTTCAATGTGTAGCGCAAGGCACCAAATCCATTTATTTCAATGCAGTCCAGTGATCTGTGGAATCCCTCATTGAGGTGAAGTAAATCTGCACAAAATACTTTTTATCGGCACAACATTGATGATTGATATGATGTCTGTTAGCAAGCTTGCTTTCTCAGAGAGTTTTTCCACACCAGGGGGGAGTAAACGACCCAGTACAGAAAAAAACTGTGCCACTTCCTGATGTGACCAATGTGAAAAAGTGGAGCCGTCAACAGCCAAACTATCCATTGGCCCAGCTGACCAACTCACGTCAGATACTTTACAGTTTCAAATATCAATAATCAGACATTATTGTTGATATTTGGTTTCTAATGGCCACTAGAAACTTAAACTGTACTGAAGTGAGTAAGAAAACTTGTGTGATGAAGTAATGGTCTATTAATGTGTTTTTGCTGGTGATTTAGAAAAAAAAATGTATGGTATGTTGGGAGGAGCTGTAGTGGTTGCAGCTTGCTTTTTCCATCTCAACTCCAAGTGCTATGGCCAAATTTGGAATTTTTTTGCGCCAGTTACTGACACAAATGGCAGCAAGTGGTAAACTCTAGACCAGGCTTCAAAATGTTCCTTCAGAAACCTGTGGGTGACATCACAGATGGTACACTTTCTACACTTTATCTCTACTTTTTGCTCACTGAGTGGGCCGTCTGTGCTTCTACAGTTTCAGTTCTGGCTCCCTTCTTTATAACTGACTATCACTTGCTATCTGCCCAGGACTGATAGCCGCAGCAGTTTTAGCTTGCTAAATGTGTGGGATTAAAGTAACGCTAATGCTCGAAAGAGGCATCCCTGAATGTGGCTGGGCTGACTGTGCACAACGGTGGAGGAAGATGGGGGGGAGAAGGGGTGAAGGATTAAGTCTTGTTTAATGGGATTCCTAATTCTCTTTCTCTCCAAGCACAAAGGCATCTCAGAGACTTTGGCAGCTCCTCCATTTTTCTCCCTGGATTACCTCTGCTGTTGTAAGAGAAAATCGGGTGGGCTGCTGGGCAGATTTACCCACTTCCTGCACCTCTGATGGCTGTAACGTCAGGGAACCAAGCATCAGCTGCATGCATCACAACAACACTGGTTGAATGAAGAGGAGGGAGAGGGTTCCTGAGCCCTGCCAGTGCCCGGATTCTCACATCAAGATGAAACCCAGAATGTTAAACACAGGCTTTGGCAACTTGTTCTGTAATGGCTGTGAAGACATGTGGAGGTGAGAGCAGGATGCACACTGGGGAGCGCCAGCTGATCACTGAGTGTATGTGAGTGCATACACTGTGTCTGAGTGTGTGTGTGCAGGTGTGACAGGGTCAATATATTCACCTCTCTCTGGGAAAAATGTGTGGGAGACACAGCTTTGCTTAGTTTAGCTTCCTAAGTATTATAGTGCGCACACACACACACACACACACACACTCACCTGTACATGAAGGGGGCCACAGTGGCAGTATTTGGGTGGTTGTGCTGCTGCTGCTGAGGAAGCTGAACGACTCCGTTCCCTCCAAGCGCTCCTCCTCCTCCCCCTACTCCTCCAACCCCTCCTCCTCCCAGCATCCCACTGGACCCAGACAGGGCTGAGGTGCTGGTGGAGGAGGTCATGCTGGTCCTTTTGCCCTCTGGGCCCCCAATGGAGCGCTGTATGTAGAAACTCCCACCCTGCCCTCCTTTCGTCAGCTTGGCCCTCTCGCCCTCTCCACCCCGCATGTTGCCGCTGCTGTTTAAGGCCGCCTGGCTTTGGCTCTGCGACTGAGTCTGAGGCTTGGACGTCGTGGTAGAGGGAGCTTTAAGTCCTGGCTTTGGGATGCCAGTGGAAGCTGAGGAGGCGCCGCCATCTTTCTTTCCAGATGATGGCTTCCCTCCCTTGGGGATGAGGCTGGCAATTTTGGAGGTCTTCTTGGTGGAGTCAGTATATGACTCGCGCTCCTCTTTGGCTGGAGAGCTGTCCTTAGAAGATTTCCCAAACTTGCTTTTGTCCTCCTTGTCTTTGGACTGGGCCATGGACCTGCTGCCATTGGCAGACGCTTTTGAAAATGAAGAGGAGGGGGAGGAAGAGGAGGATGTCTTGCTTGGTGCAGTGAGGGACGATGCAGGTGCCTTGGTGGGCATTTGCTTGGCCGAAGCACTGCTACTGCCACTGCTGCACATCGGCCCCATCGGCGTCAATCCATCCTCACCGTACTCCGACAGGTCATCCTCCTCCTGCAGAGCCATCTCGGCCACAGACGGTGACGCTCGTGAAGCAGATCTAGGGTTAATGAGGCGGAACTTCTCCAGCATGGACCTCTGGGATCCACCACCGCCAGTGGACCCGACTTTAGACCCATCGCTTCCATGCGGCAGAAGGCCTTCAGAGGCCTGGGGTGAATGGGTGGGGGACGGTGAGTTCGTGGGGCTTGCCAGCATGGACGAAGTGGCACTGTGCTTGAGGTTCATGGACTTGCTGCGCCAGGACTTGCCTGCGGTGGGTGAGGGGATGGCAGAGGCCAGCTGCTGCCCGCTGAGGCTGGTGGGAACCGTCCCACCAATACTGCTCCCATTCATCCCGCCGGGTGCCGGGATACCCCTCACCGCTTCTGAACCAGAGAAACAGAGAAACAGAAAGGATGATTATTTCAAAGTGTGTATTTGGTAAATTAAAACATCTACCAGGATCCAGCTGTTAAATTTATAATCATATTCAACCATTTTGATTTGATCAAAAGGTTCAATTTTATAAAGATACCAATGTGCATATTTTGGCCATTATAGACTATTACATAACCATAAATTAAATCCACTTTGGAAACATTGATTACATGGAGTTCCTTAAAATATAGGGGATCAAGCATGTACGGTGTAAATGTATGTAAAAGTATATAAGATATCTAATTTTGGAACATGTTTACATAGCAGTAGTATTTCCTGAAGTTGACTGAAGTGGCTGACACATGTGAGTGATTTCCAAAGCAAACCAAAACAGTTGGAGCAAACATTCAAGTTCGGATTATGACACTTTCACAGTCCTCCTGGATTTATTTGACATCAGAAACAGCATATTCCAAAGTCACAGCTGAATAGTGAATTATGTCTGTGCTGCCTTCCTCTATGGTTTCAAACACGTTCAGCTCAAAAGTCAAGCAAAAACAGGAAACTTTTAGAGGATTTCAGTGTTGAGTAAAAGTAAAAAAAACATTGAGAGCTTATTCCCAGGTGGTAGTATATCAACAGCAGGAAAAGAAAAAAAATCTACTGTTATTATTACACTGGTGTCTTGAAGGAGTTTGCACTCAAGTGTGCTGTACCTTCCTGTTCAGTCTCCCACCCCCTGATTTACACTTCTGTAGAGGCCTGTCACAGCACGTTTGCAGGTGGATAACAGTGGTTATAACGGACAAGTCACCGCGTTGTAGCCGTGACAACAAAAGAGATCACACCAGCTATGTTCACATGGATGGAGAATTTCCTTCTGAAAGGAAACCGTCCACCCCCAGATTCACTGTTAAACATCAGTCTCTGATGAACAATAGGTTGCAGGGGTTTGAGCAGTTATTTATAATTTACTGTTTTGGTGAAGCAGCTTTCCCTGAACATTTTTAAGTCGGTCATTTTCTGCCTTTTCCTAGAATTATTCTGAGATTGTACTGTATTCACTTGCGTTATACATGCAGAATGTGAGCTTTTCCACATGGGAAAAAGTCAGTGCTGCAAGCTCAACTCAGAATATGTCCCCCATATTGAGGGTGCAGTGGGTGTGGAAATTGGTGTCTGCCTCGCATCCAGGGATTTTGGCAGGTGTGATTGTTCAACATTGGTAGAAAAATTGGCAGCCCTAGACCCTTGCTCTTTGAGGGACTCACATCAAAACCAAAATCGCTGAAGCTTTTGAACTGAAGCTAACAAACTCAGAGCTGCTGGAAACATCTGGTTAAATGTAGCGTGTGGAGATTTTTGATCTCTAGTAGCACATTGGAACAATGATTTTTAGAGTGGTTTGTTTACAAGAAAACTCCACAGGGAAACTATTTAGTACATATAAATGAATTAAAATAAGTCACTAGTAAAACTCACTGACATACACTATAAAGACAATGTGAAAGGCTTTATTATATTTAAAGATTAAAGATTATGAAAACCACTTACAAATCATCATGTAATCAATATGATAAAAAAACATCAAAGAAGGCTCTTAAATGAATTTTTTCAAACCATTTTAAAGACATTATTTTCTGTTTTCACCACTTATCACATTCACTGGCATTGATTGCTGCATTACAAATGGTGTTTACTTCCACCAGATTTTCAGTCTAATGGTGCTGGGAAAATATAACGTGCTCAGCAAAAACCACACACACATACACACAGAGCACATAAACCATCCATCATACGTGTAAAACAAATGTTACAGCGTCCGCCGCCGAGCATCGACCTTTACACACAGCCCCCCTTTCCTGGCTGGTTGATACTCCGACCATTAGTGCTTCTCTTTCCCTCCCTGACCTCCCTACCTCATGCAAGATCTACTGTCTGACAGATAAATATAGTATTTAAGGATGATGGACAGAACCGAAAGTGGGCAGGCAGGCACAGACAGAAATGCATCTTCTTCTGGAGTTTGAGGTCAGTTCAGAGGGAAAGAGAGGCAGATAAATAGAAAGCAAAAGGAAACAAAGAATTAGACATAGGGCAGGATATAAAGAGAGGAAGGTGACGGAGTGACAGCATGAAGGGTTATGCACCATTAGACTGAATGTCTGTCTGGCTGTCAGTCAGCACAGTGAGCAGGGCTGTGAGTCACCTCCCGTCTGCAGTTTAAAGCCCCTTAAAGCAGACGGGGGGGGGTGTTCAGCTTCAGCTGTGGCCAAGAGACTTTAACCGGCTTACAATTCTGACAACATGCTCTAAAACCTTAAAACATAACGCCTCAGTACACTGCGTCAGATACAGAGTGAAAAGTGCAATTTGTCAGGCTCTAACAGAGACTTGTCTTTACACTGTGCTGTATAACATTAACTATACCACCCAACCGTAAAATGTATAATAATGGCTAGGGCTGATGGCAGTCATCTTGCTGAAAACATTAACGTGGTCATGTTATGCTCATTTTCACGTTCATCATTTTATTTAGGGGTTCTACCAGAGCAGGTTTACATGGTTTCATTTTCAAAAAACACCATATTTTTTGTCATTTTGCACATTGCTGAGACTCCTCTTTTCACCCTGTGTGTTGAACGCTTCGTTTAGCTATGGAGTGATACATCTCACCTCTACAAGATCTTTGTTGGGAGTTGCACATGCACAGTTCCTAGTTAGGGACTACTAGCCAATCAGAAGCAGAGTAGGGTGGGTCCTGAGGAGCCGGTAAACACGGCTTTTGTTCCCCTTACCAGCTTAGCAACATGGACTGGAGCAAGAGTTTCAGAGTGGTGAGTAACAACTTGATGTCCATTGACTGCCTGGAGGGTGGCTAATGTTTGGAAGGGAGAGGAGAAGCAGCAGGTGGACATCTTGTCACTGTGTGCTGCAGCTCACAGTGTTTTTCCACCGGTGTTTTCGAGGGCGTGTCGGACTAGCCGCTTGGTGGGCATTATGACGCGTGTTTTCTTGTGATGTCACAATAAAGCATAAGAAAAGGCAGGACTACAAACGAGCTATTTTCAGGCAGTTCAGAGCAGTGTTTTCTGTGGGAGATGGGAACTCCCTTTAGGTCGGACTTTTTCACTTGCAAGCACTGCAAACCTATTACATGCCCAAAAAGATATATAACTCAATAAAGGAGAGGTGAAAAGCCAAAAAGCATAATACCACCTCTTTAAAGGAAAAAATCCAACAAAGACAGCTGGCTACCAAAACATATTGGTCATCAATTTTGCATCCAAAGCATCAATAAATATAAATCCATAAATGAATTTAGGCAACGTTTAGGTAAAACATATCATAAGCTGTATTTAATTATTTATATGCCATAGAAAGTGTGGCCAATGACACTTTTCATCTTCCCCTCCTGAAAACTGATTAGGTGTGTGCATCATATTTCTAAGAGTGTGTGCTTCGAAAGTGTACATGGGGACAGTGCATTTGTGCCAGAGCGAAACCTCCCCTTGCCTTTATATGAACATTGTTTCTGCATGTTTGAAAAGGGCAATGAACTGACAGCCACTCTCCTGTTCTACTGTAATGAGCTAGCAGGTTAGAAAGATATATTCGGAATGCAGAAGGTTCTGATCTCAGCCCAGTAACCCCGGCTACACTTGGGTTAGTTTTAACTAATAGATACTCACCAGATAAACAAACACATCAGCTTGTGAAAAGAAACGACACCTTCATTTTGCATCTTTTTGTGTGTGTGTGTGTGTGTGTGTCTAGACAGCCACGTGATATTGACATAAACATGAATGGAGAACTCTTCTTGTGTTTATGTGTGTGTGTGTGTGTGTGCCCTTTGTATTACCCCTCATCTTTAGAGATAGCGCAGTGGCCCTCAAGGCACTTTATGAATGTAAATGAAAGAGGTTCCAACCATTTGTGTGATTCTGTGTGTGTGTTTGTCCGCTTGTGTCCAGTCAATTAACCCCGTCTTTAGAGATCTCCCTCCTCCCCGCTCCTCCTTCCCCACCCCGGAGGCTGTATCGCAGCGCCGCCACACTTATATTTTTTTTTTACCATGCAGTGACTTGTCGCCATGGCAACAGACTCTTCTTTTCTTTATTTTTGCCTCAGCGGCCGAGGAATGAAATGTCCCTTCTTCTGGGCGGCGGTGGACCTTCTGCTGACAAATGTACAATACATATGTGACGTTTGCAACCACATGACCGACAATACACGGAAACTGAAATCCTGAAGCGGACACTTAACATCTCTTGGTCAGGTAAAAACTTGCGGTGCTGACCTTTTCTTCTTTTCCAAACTCTGCAGCTCATGTTTTGGATGCATTCTGTCACACTCCAAGTTGAATTTATAACCTTTGCATGCTCTCCCCTATTATGTCTCTGCCAGACAGATAATAAATTATCCCCATGCTAGAGGAAGAAGGCAGCTCAGCTTTCACAATTGCCTCCTCGTCCTCAATCCTAACAACAAGCAGAGCAATCACCAACTTTCCAGTCCAACTTCACAACAACAAAAAAACAAAACAAAACAAGCATGCCGTTTGATGCTTCAGTTTAGTTGGCTGAAGCTAATTAGATAGTTGCATGGCAACAAGAATGATGTAATGCTCTTTGTGCCCTTTGAGCTCCCTTTCACTTTGGTCAGAGTTTCACTGTGTGAGTATAGAAAGAAAACAAAGGTTCACTTTATCCACAGCAGCATAAGCATATATATTTTTTAAAGTTACAGATCAGACACGGCACAAATCACCGTTAGGGGTGGAACACAAAGCGTCTATCTATATTTATTCATCTCATAAATTGATCTGTGATCGGATTCATCCAGAAAGTCAATTTTTACAGCCATTGATACTCCTCATATGTGTATATATGTTTAGCTGCCAAAATACACAAAACATAATGTTCTAAATATGTATGTCAGTAAATTACATTACATTTACATTTAGCTGATGCTTTTATCCAAAGCGACTTACAATTGCTATATATGTCAGAGGTCGCACGCCTCTGGAGCAACTAGGGGTTAACTGTCTTGCTCAGGGACACACTGGTGGATGGGTCACAGTGGGGGATTGTGTCTCTCACATCAAAGGCATGTGTCTTATCCATTACACCATCACCACCCAATTCAGCATTAAAACATGATTTATATCTGAATCCTACCTTCTGTGACATCTTTTAAGCTCTACGATGCACTGCAAACAAATCTGGTGACTGACGAAAAGGTACTGAGGACCCTTCATGGTGAAGTACTGAGGAAAAACCTCGCTAAGAACTGAACTTTTAGGCTATTTTTTTTACAATTCTGACACCAACATAGCCTTAATGCAAAAATTCTGATCTGTTTAGGACACGTTGTCTGTTCACAGCAGAATAATGTATTTGTATTCGTTTACATTCCCGTCTATTCCAGGACACAACCTGGAATATAACAAATACATATGTATATGAAATAAGAAAAAAAGGCCTGTAAAGCCACAAGCAAAAATAAAGATAAAAGGATGTAAGATTTAACAAGAGAATATGGAACATGACGGCCAAATTAAACTCTCTGTGAGAGAAAATAAATGCAGGAGAATGTATAAAATGGCTTGTGGCAGACACTTCCTGTATCCGTTTCTGTCTTCTGCTCTCTCTGCTACCTGCTTTTGCCCAGAAGGTTTTGTCTGCATCGCTGACATTTCCCCACAATTGATTTTTCTTTTTTTCCCCACCTTTTACTTTAGACCAAAACACTGTTTCATCTCCCCTGCAGTGAAGCTCCAACGCCTGGTAACTTATCTCTGCAAACTGAAGGTTTGTCTACTGGCAGGACTCAACTGCAAAGTGTGAACGGTCCGGAAAAAGGACGTATCATTGGAAAAGGGGCCAACCATTTTCACAAAACAATAAAAATACACTGATTGATCGAATCCTTTATAATGGGGTTTGCTGAAGGAAAAAAGAACAAGACTTGTATAAGACATATATCAGTTTCTCAATAATTTCCGCTTCCTCTCGGCTCTCTTTTCCGCTACAAACACTCGATCACACACTCCCTGTCCACCCTCACCCTTCCATCATCTTTCGACATGCCTTCATTCTTCATCTCATTGAGGAGTCTGAAGTTTCAGAGAGAAATCAGAAGGCTGGGTGTATATCTTGCGCAAACTTTTTGGATTGACAGCAAGAGAGAAAGAGAGTTTGCTGGAGTTTTCTTTTTCTTTTTAGAGCTGGCTGTCACTCACCTCACAACTCTGCAGACTAAATCCTGTTTTTCATCAGTGACTGAGCAATGCTTTAAGATTAAAAGCAAGATATCATTAGAAAACATTTTATGACACATTGCTAGCCAAAGCCAATGGTTTGTCATTATAATGTCATAAACACCTCAGGGATGGTTTAAATTATTAAAATGACGGTGAGCCATGGGATAGGTTTTAATTATTATAACTGTTTGAGGCAGTAAGTCATAATAAATTTTCTGAATGAATATTTTAGCTATTTTAAATACAGTGACTGAGCCAATAGAAGAGGTGTTACCTGATTAAAACATTGTCCTCTGGTATTTTTACTCTTCACAACAGAACTAGGCGGTTAAAACAACTATTCCTTTGTGAATAATCAATAATGTATTAAAAAAACAGAAAAACACTAACTTGCAGCTACTGTGAGACCCTTCTCTCAAAAGCATAATCACTCTCATTAGCTTCATCATGTTTGGCAGAGCGGCTCCCTGAATTTGCCCCTTCGGTCTTCTCTCAACTGGCTCTTGCCACGCAGTGAAACTTTGTCCACTTAATGGCATCCATTGTAAGTCACTTGCAATAAAGAACCGAGGGTGATTCAGCAGACTGGTTAAGACTGGCACAGTGAGGGACTGGGCTTCTCTGCAGCCCTCGGATTGTCTGTCTGAGTCAGTGGTGCCACCAAGTGGTTGGGATGGAGAATGTAAAATGGTCGCCCCTTCCTACTATCAACTTCTACCAACTCCATCTTTGCTTCTAAAGTGTTACAGTGTGTGTTGTGTTACTAAACACAGTAATATTCCATCCTTACCTCTGTCGTTGCCACTGGCATACTGAAGAGGCTTGCTCTTGTCGATGCTGTTGAAGCTCTGGCTGCGCCGGTTGAGGTTGGATGAGCCCGGGCTCCTGGATGCCCCGCTGCCTGCAGCAGGTACTCTGGAGGGGCCTGGTAACCTGCAGGGGCCAGTGTGAAAGAGAGAGATGTTAAAATAACATGTTGGAACTCTATAGAAGCAGAGCTGCTCTGGGGGCAGTTAAATGTCAGCGGGGAGGGGGGGGGGGGCAGTTTTACTTAGCCAGAAAAATCATCTCCACCCATTTCAGATTGATGGTCTTCATTGTCTCAGACAGTGTTTTAAATACACACAATACACAAATATTTTTGTAAAGCCCCCCTCCAGTGTATTTTGACATTTCTGTGATATTCTATTTCATGTTTTTATGAGTCATTTCCTTACAATGTTGATTACCCACATAGTTCGCCAAATATATTTTGACAAATAGCTTTATTTTGTGCTCAAAGTTGCTTAGTTGCTAAAACGGGGTGGTGAGGGGTGACTATAGTAATTCCACAAGTCATACGTCATCCTCCAAGCTTGCGCAGTTGCACAGTCATGTCTTGTTAAAAACAAAACTGTTGCGCCTTGTTAAATCAGAGCATCAAAGCCATAAACGTTGTTGTGAGCTAGCCAACCAATTTATCATATATTTTACGTAGTGTTTAGGTGTATCTCTAAATACCCCATTCTTCAGGACACAACACATAAATGTAAGAACTTCATAATGTGCCTGCCTTAGGCCCAGCAGACAACCTGCCTGTAAGCTTTATGTTATGCCTCGGGATAGGGACAAAACATGTACAGCTAAAGCTGGTGAAATCATCATCATTGTCAGTGTGACATTAGTAGTGGTGATTCTGTTTCTTGTAATATCCTCCACGAACAGAAATAAATCAGAAATAAATTGTTTTGTCGTAGCCTGATACTTAATAGCAAACTTTACAGTGTAGTGATGTTAACACAGCATACTATCCTTAGCGAACACTCAGAAACAGCCGGTCAATTTCTGGTTGCTATGGTAAATGATTACCATAGCAACTCTGGAGTTTTTTCTCATGCCTATATGTACATTATTAGGGCCAGAGCAGTGACTGACATTTCACCGAGATGTACAAAATATTTGCGGCAGATGTATCATCCCAAGACTTCAAAAAAAGCCTCTTGGAGCCATACCTTAAACCCAACAGGAAGTCTGCCATTTTGAATCTTCTTTTTTTTTTGTGATTTACAGGCTCTGTACTTTGTTTATTCTTACAAACGACTCAGAGCAGATTAATCACATCTCAAATTCATTCCTTGATGAATAGTGTAGCTTTTGAGTTTTTATTAAATGTTGTGGTAGCAACGCATTGTTCATCCCGAAACAGGAAGTTGTTTCAACTCGAGTTTACATTGTCCAATCTGCCCCAGTGATTCATAAGAGTCACGGCCTCAGGACATCTGAGAGTTGTAGTTATTGCCCCACCTACTGGCAACAGGAAGTAAGCCTTGTGTGACAATCTTTCAATTTGAATTACATCAAATTTTCAGGTTAGAGTTTACATCTGATTTACTGGAACATAATGTACAATTAGTGGGTGTTGTCTAGCGCCCCGCAGTAGACACAGGAAGCGACACTGACCTCCTTTGTGCAGTGTCCAAAACATGAAAATTCAGAGCTGCATCGACCGACTGCGACACACCTCGGCATGCAGGAAGGTGTGCGGGCCTTCTCGTTGCTGCTTGCTGCTTCAATTGGTTGATGTAATTGTTTCTATACTACCTATGAAGATCCCTTTGTAAAATGATTTAATGGGCGACAAAACCAAAACGCTGCGTTCAGTAAAGAAAATTTAACTGAAGCTGCGAGCATTGTCTTGCAGAGCTGCAGACAGTAGCATGAAGAAAGATGGAATTCAGTACTAAAAAGATTATGACTTTGGGAGATAATTGTCTAATTTGGACTGCCTAAGTCTCTGTTAGCTTCAGCTGAATGTGGATGTTGTCCCCCATCACTTACATTGAAATTACTTGAAAATCTCTTTGTGGCCAATATGGACAATAGGAAACCAATGTACCAAACACAAGGTGACCAATGTACATCCAGGCACCTGAAATTTTTAAGGCAGACCTGAAGAAATAAAAACCCTGCTGGGAGTGAACAAGTCTAAAGAAGTCTACTGTGGACTCAAGAAGACCGACTACAGACAAAGGTAGGCTGTATAAACTCTATACAGTACAAACAGCAAAGCAAAGAAAGTTTGTCTCACTTGGATTTGAAAGAGTGCTTCCATTGTGGTCATAAATATTGACCCTGCACTCAGTATGTGTCAGTGAGTGAGATGGAGAGAGATCAAGAGAGTGCTGTAAGACAGAGTGTGTGTTTCCCTGTGGGTTGAAAGAAGAAGGATGAAAGGAGGAGGTGAACTTTGAGTTATTGCAAAACTACGTGACAGAATATAGAAAGACACAAATGTTTCCTTCATGATAGGTCAGGTGAGATCAGTCAGCACCCATTTTCGGAGGAAAAATGAACTACAAGTATGTGAAAATATACAGTGGGGTACAAATAATGGCTCTTTATTTGTGTCCTCCCTCCCTCTCATGCTCCTACATACAGTCAGAAGGCATTTCTTTACATCTACTGACACTGTATAAAGCTTACATATACCTACCAGGGAGGTTTGTGTTTTCAGTCAATCTCTCTACTGTCTGACATCCACAAACACACTTTTGCATAATCTTTTTCTCTCGACAGAGTCAAAGCTGCCGGTGTCAAATGTTGATTTGCCATGCTGCAGCTGGAGGATTTTCACGGCTCCCATGAGGGCGCTAAAAGAATCATCTCATCAAAAACCTGTTGTTATTGTACAATAACTTTACATTGCATTTTTTATGCACTTTGCCAGATGCTTTCACCCATCTGTTTATTGGTAAGTTATTTCAAAAACAGACTCTGCAACTGCTTCAAGGATCATGATGAGATTTACGACAACTTGATTTTTATGATCTGATTCCAAAGATCACATTTTACATTACGATCTCGTCTCTTTTTCTCCCTAACAAACTCTTTAGACTGCTAGTTTACACGCTGTGACTATCCTGTATCCAGTCTCCATTCATAGCCTGGCATTTGTCAAAAATAAGTGGGAAAGAAAAAACCCTGAATTCTAACAACTTGGTGTCTTTCTGTCTCCGTGCCTGAAAACTGTCGCGATGTCCTTTAACAAAGATAATCGATTCTCTACGCTGAATATGTCACTCGGCGTCTGTATCGCAGATGGAGCCGAGATGTCGGAGAGGAGTGGTTTTTTTTAAAGGGTGGAATCCTGACGTGGTCAAAAACCCCAGTGGAAAAAAACATATTCCTTTTTTTTTTTTTTTAAGGCCTTTATTTAATACATCTAAACAAATAGAAGGACCAATTGACACATAGCATGGACAAAAAGCCTTATATTATTAAGATAGAGATCTCCCTACACTGCCTGCAGTGCTGTATTATTCCTTGGGTAAACAGAAATAGCTAGGATGAACTTACGTACGTGTGTCCTGCTTTTACTTCTACACTATAGCACTTACCATGAGAACAAATCAGGTCAACTTTATACTGTCGCACTAAATGACCAAATCAATAGTGATAATATATGGGAAGGGAGCAACACTTGGGTCTTTTATCTCCCTGGATTGTCTTTTTTACACTTTAAGATGTAGGTCAGGAATGCCTGCCTTTTGGCTTTGCACTCATCACTGGATCTGGAATCTATTTTATAGCAAAACGAGTCCAAATAAAAAACAAGAACTGAGAGTCCAGAGAGATACTGTTTTGCACAATCCACATCTCAGCTTACAGTATCCTTTCCAGAAAGTGTTTCTGATAATGACTTGGTTCAGATTGATACAGGAAATAGCACTGTTTTCACATACCACACAAAACTGGATAAAACACAATTATCACTTGGCCATGGTAATGCTCCCAGTTCATTTTAACATAGCTGCTGTAGGACAGCATTTGCAGAGGAAGGCAGCTCCACCAACTGATATTAGTGAAGACAATTATGCTTCAAGCTGCAGGGCTTATCAGACTAACCATCCGCTGCATTTTCTGATGCAACAAGAAACACAGAAAGCATCTAGTAGCTTCTACTATTACAGAAGAGGGACTTGAAAGATACTGTAGATTATTGCAAAAAAAGTTGAAGTTTACTTTGTGTGTCTCCCTTGAAAAATAGAGCACGGCTCAGCGATTAAGCAACCTGCACGGCATGTATTCAAAGCAAAACTGCCTAATGAGTCAGTCCATGTGCTGAACCATGCAAACTATGTTTTATACAGACAATTGTGCAACAACAAAATGTGCTCAAGTGCAAAAAAACTGACATCTAGAAGTAGCAGTAAATGTGCCAGTGTCTACACCCTCCTTTCCATTTCTTAGATCCTAAAACAACTGTACATCTACAGTGACGTCACCAGCACACTTCGGACTGTTTAGAGATGCAGATCCAGGTCTGAGAGCAGAGACTTGGTGCTCTGCCTGAGTGATCGCACTGAGCTGCTGCCAGAGGTGGTCCTGAGCCTAGAGAGGAGGCTGCTCCTCACTGGGCTGAAACGAGGACTAGTACAGTAGCAACCACACAAGACAGAGAGCGAGAGCAAGAGAGAGAGAAAGAGAAAGAGAAAGAGAGCATGGAAATGAAAGGGTGGAAAAAAGAGCTAGTCCTAGTTTTGGTGTGATTCACTTAAAATTTTGGTGTTCAAATGAAATACCTCACAACAAAACAGAACTAAAAGCACCTCAATGACCCTTAAACACACATGCATGCACGTGCACAGCTACAGTAGCCGTAGGGACACTCCCACTGGTACAATCAACAAGGGAAAGAACAGAGGAGAATAAGAGACCAAACAATTAAAAGAAAAAGAAATAAAAAGGAAAAGACTTGAGAGAATGGGAGTGAATGAGGAAATAGATGCAGATAAGAAGAGAAACAGAGAAAAAAATACTGTAGCTGAAAATACAGACAAGAGAAAATGAGAGATAAACAGTGGGAAAATGAGGGTGAGATTGAGGCAATTCAGATGGAAATCAGAGGTAGTCCCTTTTATCATCAGATTCTTTCATCTTCCAAAATACATGTTTGATAATACATCAGCAAAATGGAACTGCAAGAGGGAAATGTGATGTAAATCTGGACAATGATTAGTTTTAGGCCAGACTTGGCGAAGCGTATCTGACACAGAAAGGATCTCAAGCCTGATGGTGAGGTGAAGAAGAGAGGGACAAACACCGGCTATCCTGTTCATTTCCCTGCCAAGTTCTTCCCAGTGAGTCTGGGGATTCCAACCAGCTCCTTTCCGATATTATGCCAACTTCTACAGAAAATCTGGTCCAGCCAGTCTGGAATTCACACTACCTCCAGGGCAAAGCCAAAGCCACATCAGGCTCATTAAATGGTAGAAAGATACCACAAGCTAACAGGTGGCCAACAGGCTGTCAAACATCACCACCTGCTGCAAAGATGATGAACTTTAAGGGCCATACCAGTACTTCATACCATTTAGAATAATAAACAAACATGTTTTCCAAACCATGTGAACACCAGTTTTAGAAATTTAAATTATATCTTCTACTGTTCCCAGCAGCCATTGATTTGTAAACTTGTGTTAGTGTTGAGAGTCTGCTAGTTGAATTTGTACAACAATGGCTGCCGGGAACTGAACGGTATATTAGGTTTAATAATCTAAATCTGCAAAGCCTGCATTAAAATCTGGTCAGCAAAAATGTATAGTATTAGAGTATAGCTAACTTGTAGTGAAGGAACTAAAACTTGCAGACACATGGGTATGGTTCTTTAAAGCCTAATGTAACACAATAGTACACACAAGTGCCCTGTAGCACCAGTAGAGCACAGACAATAAGCAGAGGAGACCCCAGGGGAATATTCAGACTGTAAAGCCATGATAGTTTAGTTTTGTGCAGGTGTCTTCATCAAAGAGCATTTCATCAGGAATAAGAAATAAATGAGTACCAACACGAGGAAGAAACCTATTGTGAGAAGTGTGGAAATGCACGAGAAGCTCTATTATGGCACTCAGTTAGGGCTGTCCCCGACTAAGGATTTACATGGTCGAATCAGTAGTAGTATAGTCGACTGATAGTCAAATCATGTGTGTTTTTGTGCTGGGAGGGGGTTACCCACGGTTGCTTTGCTTTAATCTTGCTGCAGTCTCTACTTATTCAACTTTCAACACGGTAAATTTTCAGCTAAACTGAGGCTTTTTGAAGACCCTTTTCTCTCTCTCTCTCTCGCCTGCCATACACCGGTCTTGTGCAGAGTTTAGCGTGCATTCCATGCTGCCGACAACTGCATGCAACGTCGCGGTTCCTTGTGGGTCTATTTCAAGTAGCCGGCTGTTTAAAAACGATGTAATATTCTTTGTTGGCTCATCAACGGTGATCAATTATCCAAAGTCCCGCGAGGTGTGGACAACTTGGCACAACACCAGTGAAGCTGGGGCTCCGTTGCTCCACTGCCACTACATACACGCTACGGCTACACATGCACTGACGACCCAGGGTTAGGGTTACAATTTAGGATTTATTCACGCACTTTAAAAATATTTATTGAAAGCTTTATTCTTTTTACATGTTAATTTACAGCATTAAACATTGACATGTATATTATAATTGGCTGTATATTAACTTATTGGGAGAAAACTGGTAGCTCCATATTTATATATTTCTACATTTATTTATATTGACTGAATGTTTGTCTCCGTGTAGCACCTTATCACCACAGCAAATTCCTCGTATGTGTAAAACACTACTTGGCAATAAAGATCCTTCTCCTTCTGATTCTGATTCTATGTAAAATCAGACGTTGAGCATCTCCATATCGCCAAAATGGCATGATCCTTGTTTCGCTACGAAGCTTCGACTGTGACATTGACAGTCGAATCAGGCTCCGCCCAGCGAAGCATCAAATCTTCGACTATTTGGGGTCAGCCCTACCAATAATCATCAATTACTCATCCTTGGAAAGCTAAGCATAACAAATAAAACAAGGGCAGCCTCTTGTCTTGGACCTAAGCTCATTGTAGCGTTTTAATGCACACTTAACTGGTATGAACACCAAAGAACATTCATAACATCAAAGAATGCACCCCCCAACTAGGCAGTATGAGTCTAACCAGACACATTGGACATGTTTCAACAATGGAAGAACAATCTTTATCAGTGACTGCAAGTGAAAAGTGAAGATGTTCCTGTTAGAGGATAGTTCTTTAGCTTTGGCTAACGGCAGAATGTCTCATAAAGAGCATAAAAAACACCAAAACTCTTGTCATCACATGAAAGTGCAGTCTGTGAGACATCAATTGTTTTCCCATTTTAGAGCTGCTAAAACATGCTCGCTTCGGGGTAGGAGAGGAGACAATTCATGGATGATTAAAATAACTTCTCAGATGGCAAGAAAGCAATTAAATACAATAATAAATAAAACAATAACCAGCCTCTTATGAATGCAAATCAGATGGCAACAGAGGAGTGGTTACACTGTCACTGCTCACTGACCTCCAAAACAAGTTTCTTGTTTGTACTGTGTGTGGATCATCATATGTATGTAGGAATTAAAGGACTATTTCTGCAAAGCAGCAGCAGTGAGGTTTGTTGTCAGGGATGTGAGAGGGCAGATTACCACCCATAGAGCTGAAGCTGCTGCCTGCAGCATTTTTGCCATTGCTCAGTGGCGGCTGAAGAGGAATTATTTGCCAACACGCCAGTTCCCACTGCCTCTGAGCTGGAACAAATGCTTCAGGCATCAGACAACTGGACTCTGGGGTGTCTATGTACAGTATGTGTGGGTAGATTTGTGGGTGAATGTCTCAAATGTACATAACTGGATCTCTTGTTATACGAGCACATGAAATGAGTATGGTAGGTGTGTGTAACTGTGCTAGTGCACAACCCCATACGGTACCACGTAGGAGTGACTAAATGCTTATGTTTATGGGATGGTAGGAAAGTGAGTGGCCCTACGTGCATGTGTGTGTTCAGGCACAGGTGAAGCCTGTGGTGCCCTGACTGCTAGATACAGTCTAGAACTTGGCATTAAACAGTCTGGTAGCTTATTTAGTAGCAGCTTCTTTGCCAAGATTTGTAAAAGGGCTATTCCCAAAGAACACATCACACATAACAGCACCTTTCAAGTAAAAGAGTTAGATTGAGGACAGAGATTAACAGACTTTAAGTGCAAGTAAACAAGTTGTGTGTGAAAACTTTACAGTGATCCTCAATTTCCTTTTTTTTGTGATTCTAGCAATCTTTTCGGGGGAAAGAACTCACTGATGTGTTTATGCACTGAACTCTCCAATGGTCACTGGTCAGTCAAATCATGTTGGCATGACTGCGAAATATTATTCTCTTGAGTCTCTGCAGGATTTTTTTTTTTTAACATTTGCAAAATGTTGATCAAAGTTAGTCCTAGTTTTGGTGTGATTCACTTCAAATTAGACATTTCGACATATTTATTCTAAATATTAACCGAACACTCATTTGCTTACTTTGCAATACTCAGGTGGACTGGCTTTGAGGCAAATTATGTACAAGCACCTTTAAAATTATGTGTGTGCCTATTTGATTGCACTAGCCTTGACGTTAATGAGAAGAACCACTCCGTGAAGTAAAAAAGTGAAAATAAAAATAAAAAAAAATTCCATCACACTGTAGGTGTTCAGAACTGAAAGGGCATGTTTAATTAGGCTGAAATGCCTGTGCAAAGGTAATGGGGAACATGATAATGAATATTTAGCAGAAGAGAGTCTTTTCACTGTGAGGCACACATCTACACCCTGCTGAAGTATCTTTGACCAAAACAAGAATCCCTACCAGCTGCTCCCTGGTTCACCCAGACCTTTGACCTCACTGTGGTGGTAACAGAGTATCACAAAAACATGAAAACATGAAGCTAAATGGACATATGAAGGCACAGGGTCCAGAAATACACTTAAAAAGTGAATGCTCAGAATATATAACAACATCAACCAATCAAATAGAGGAGGTACATGAAGTATTTGCCATATTTACCTTGTGTTTTTCTTCTGTGGTGACCCTATTCCACTGTGGCCTGGAGGACTTGCATATCGTGCTGTGAGACTGATGAGAGAGCAGAAAAGATGACGGACAGACTGTTACACAGTTACACAGAAGAGGAATGAAATCAGTGTCTTGCTGGACTTTTCTTAATCCACAGCTTAATGTAATAATGTGAGTGAGAGGAGTCATTCAGATAGAAGCACAGAGAAAGAAGAAGAGATAACCAGGGAGAGAAGAGAAGAAGCGCATAGTACTTACTGTCGCATGCCAGTGCACATTTTTTTGATTTCTTACATGATGGCTCGCACATGTTTATTACCACACGCGTATGACTCAGCCAATAACATCTCTCAATCCATTTATAGGGCCGCTGACATAAAAGGGCCCGCAAAAACTTTCACAATCACTTTCGTGGTGGCATCGTTTGAAGAAAACCTCCAAAACCCAACAACACATGAGGCAGAGGCGAAGGAAATGCCCACAGCACCAGTCACAGTTTATAACCCAACACTCACTGTTAGTCATTCACAGAGACGGAATTAACGCGGGCAGGCTTCTCCATTCATGTTTGGCAGGAAGTAGTTAAGCTACTTGTAGAGCGCTTTATGAACAAAGAGCTGCCTTTAATCATCATACGTACACCCTGTAAACAATGAAATGGCGAAGGCCAGGTGGCTGGGCTGTTTATTCCTGCATGTAAATCTTGTGAGTGTCACTTCCTGTGTGAACTCTATGACTCGCAAACCATGTGAGCATTTCTCACTTGTTGTCATAAACGGAATGAACAGAGCATCTATTGAAAGTTATCAACCAGACATATCTTCTCTTTTAACTAGTAGCTCTAAATGCCTGGAGATATATTGTTTGTGGCTGGCCTTATTGCTATTTAAGCAAGTGAAAACCCACTCAGAGCAACAGTGTCATTTTAACTTCTGCCACAGGGGAAAGAAATGTTCTTAATGGACATTCAAGATAACTCTCAGATAGCATAATGTTCCTTTCCTGACACTTTCCCAGTCTTTCAGCAAAGAAAACTAACACAAAAAAAGACAGGTGTTGAAAATATAATTCAAGTATATCGCAGGCAGTGCTGTGGCAGGCTGAGCTAATGGGCGCTAACATTATTAGCTTTAGAGAATTTAAAAGTTGAATAGAAAAAAAAACATAAAGCAACTTATTTTTGAAAAATATTAAGAAAATGACCACAGGGATTTGGTTGTAATAAACACCGTAAAGTGGATGCTGTGAACTCACCAGGAGGATGAAATACACTGTTCACAGTAGCCTGACATAAGTCACGTTATTATCTAAAGAACCAATCCAAAACAAAATGCTGCCTCTACTTCCCACATAGCGTAATAGAGCATTAAATTACATACATTAGACATCCTGGCAGCTACTGTGACTTTACCCTTCACGTAGTTTAAGTGGTTATACGAATAAATCAGTTTATAGGAAAAAGCTAATTGCATTCCAGTTAATTGCAGATTTTCATTCATACCTTCCACAGGCTGAGCAGCGATAGAAACTTGGGTTTTCCAATCAGTTCCTTTTGAGGAGGGAGCCACAGAGCCGCAGTAGTTCAACTGTAAAACAGTCTGAAAACGGTCCTCTACAATGACCAGAGCAAGTGAGCTGTGCTTCAGCTGGAGGACAGAGGAAGCAACAAGCATGAGCAGTCTGTTTAGACGTCCTTCTTTTTTGACAACGAGGAACAACTTGTTCTCTGTTGGTGATTGTGGGCTGCTGGTTTGGCATTGGTGAGTGAAAGTGGACAGAGACAATAAACTACCTATACTGGGTGGCTGAATGACGCACAGCCGTCAACACATCTCATTTTCTGTTCTGCCTGCTTTTAGTGTGCAGTTCTCAACCGTGCATGAATATAAACAAATGCCAACAGTTTTGAAATGAGACTTTTACTTCTCAGCATTTCACGCATTTAGCTGACACTGTGACCGCAAGTTAATAAAAAGATTACTAGAGCAACAATAAAAGTAACCCATAATATTGCCTTGAGTAGAAAATTATCTCAGGGAGAAATTAGATAAAATAAATTATTGTATTTAAGAAATTACACGTCAGATATACCATAGAACAGTTTAATTATGTGGTATAGGCTTCAGTGCAAGTTCTGGCCATGACTGCTGATGAATATTTTGGCAGCCTCTCACTCATGCATCATGGATTATGGATAAGTACAATAAAAGGAGAACTGGTACAGAAGCTTCAGACCTTGCTGAGGTGATTTTCAATGAATCTCTTGAGTGCAGGGTGGTATTTAATGCTTTGTTCAGAGAGGTCGAACTGTGAACGACAAGGATCTTTTAAGGTGGTGAGTAAAATTTTAATTAGCTGTCTAACTCGCTAAGAAAGTGTGGCTCCCATTCTTTCTAAACGCACACAATGACATTTCCCGCCATGCCTCTCTCACATACTGAAGATGCACCTGTACACACACACACACACCCTTTCTCTATTCACATCTCTCCCTCTGGACAATTTGATTCACTTTTAAACCACCTGCGATGAAATGCAGAGTCACTGTACCTTTCTAATTGACCTTGCAGGTTTTCATGATGAGGCGTTATGCTAACGAGCTTCGGAGCAGACAGCAGAACACAGGGGAAACAAGTTCAGGGCAGTTTCCCATTACAGTGGTGAGCACCTTCGTATCATGTTATTACTGAACTATATGATACATGACATGTTGGTTAATGATGCCTGGCAACTGAATCCCCCCCTCACACACACACACACACACACACACACCCAACACCACATTTCATCTCCCTGTAGTATGTTTTGTGCTCTGTTAAATACCCTAAATGGCACTTACAACACAGGAAAGACAAGCATAGAGAGAAATTAATGGAGCCTGTCACATTCTAAATGCTTTTTCAGCTTTTCAATGGAAAAAAGGGTCAAGCTTAAATTTGTGCATCACATTAAAGTATAGCTTTTGTCCTTTTGCTTTCTATCTGTCTTTTCTCTATTTTTGTCCATTTTCAGAGTGGGAGTGCAGTGCAAGGCTGTTAGCAAGGAGGAACAAGGGTTATCTTTAAAGGCCACAGAAGCCTGAGAGAAGGTAATGTTAAGTGCAGCTCATGTAGGAGCAGCCCACAGTTGTATATGACAGTAAAACAAAAATCATGGGGTTCTGTGGTGCACATTTTTCCACCACAAGACCAATCATGACCCCCTCCCCCTCATCTCCAATTTTACAAAATGTAATCAAACTTGAAGGCAACGGTAGAGTCCCCAGCCTGGAGTGCTTATCCAACCCACAACATTTAATATCTTTCCAATGTGGAAAAAGAGACAACAGAACACAGGAGGGTAGGATCTACGCCTGTGGAAAGGAGATGAGGTGGTGGTGGTGAAAATGAGAAGGAGAGGGGTGTTACAGTCTGTCACTTCTGATCGCAAACAACATGGATCAACAAGATTGGATGACATCTCTGTCCTTAAATGCGAGTAATATCAGTTTCAGCTTGATTGTAGCACCAGCGCTGTGGGCAGTCGCAAACTGATGGGTTATAGAATAAAAATGGCGGGCGCTCAGGCACCGAGGTCAGCGTGATGACAGCAGGTAATGTGGTTTCACTCAACCTTTGTGTCTAGGGGGGGATCTGTCCAACATTGCCCTTTCAGAGCCCAATCAGCACTCCGTGTTGGGACGCTACTTCTAGCATTGGTGCTTGGACGCACACACACACACATGATGTCACATGGCCATTTGAGCGTGACACAGTCAGCTCAATAACTACTGTAGGCTACCTGTTGCGTGGTAACAATGGACCAAAACATCCCTAGTTTAAGGTCCAGGTTATGCTAGAAAAGAATGACATCAAAAAGTTCCCCATGGAGGAAGTTTCTGAAGCTGTTGACTATCAAACAAGCACTTTCAATGAAGCATACTGGTGCCTTAAGTCCAGCTTGGGAACTTTCATGTCGTTCCTTTCATTCCCAAGCTATGACTATCTGATAAAGGCATAAAATGCACCAAAATAGGTAACTTGTCCTTGCCTTTTAACACAACCCATATGAGAGTTTTGGGATCTGGCACACCTATTGGATAATTCATCAGTGGCTTCAAAAGTTAGTTATTCATGGTAGTATTTTCTGGATTCTGTACACAGTAAAAATGAAATACTGCTATACATACCCATTCTAAAATTAAGATAGTTACCAAACTAGAAATAAAAATAGGTTAAATGTGTTCCACTTCCCCTTAGTGATGGAGCATACATGCGGTATACATGCGGTATAAACTGGGCTTTTATTGTAGGACTCCACTTATCAAACAAGCTGTTTGCGAGTCTAATTAATGACTTCAACTGAAACTTCTCACCGACAGCATCCCATGATGAACATCAAGAAATGATTCGTATCCTAATCTACAGTATGTATTAAAAACCTATAATAAAAAGCTAAACACAAATCCATGATGTATGACACTTCAGAGTAACAAGCAGGACAAGAGGAACCAAACCATTTACCAGTTCATGATGCCACCGACACTAATCCATCCTCCTCATACCACCATGTGTTTTTCAGAAAGATCCAAACTCTGTTGCCTTGATGTTTCCACACACACACACACCGCACACTAAAACTGTACCTAGGAGACGAGTCGGGCTTGGCCAGAATGTTGGCTCTACCATATGGCAAACGGCTCTTTCTGTCGCGAGACACGGCGGTAGGCAGGCGTGAAGAGCGCCAAACCAGGGGGTCAACCTGTTCGCCCCGGGACATGGTGAGTTCAAGAGGGAGGGTTTGCTGTGCCCTGCCAGGCCCGGGCCCCCCTGCCTTCTAGAGCACTGAAAACCTCTCGTGGCTCCGGGCTGTCGCTATCTGTCCAATGGGGACTTCCCCTCGGACACACACAAACACAGTCGAACACAGTCGCACACAGTCACACACATCCCATCCCCTGCCCCAGAGACACCAGTCAGGCCAGCAGGTGCTGTCTATAGAAAGCTCACCATACTACAACTGTAGATGTGCAGTAGGCCAAATGTGTCAGCGCGCGTGTGTCTCTGTCCGTGTAAATCTGTGAGACAGATAATTTGATAATTTAGAAGGCTTAACATTTTTAATTTAAAACATCCATTCTTCTTATCTTATATTTTATGAAGTTACTCAGACATGCTAAATCTTCAGGGTCGGCTAGAGCTTACAGAAATTCATCACTGTGTTAAATTAGAATTAGAAGAGAGTTTTTATGAGTACATTTAATTACATTTCAGTGTTTCCAAAGATGGGTGAAAAGGAAAGGGAGGCTGCACGCCAGCCAGGCATGAAGCCTCAGACAAAAATTACACAAATCTTTAATATAATTTAAAGTTTAGATGGTACAATATGAAAAGTGCAGAGAAAGCAAACTTAAACATCAGAGCGTCGGCGGTTTTGCAGTGGTTCCAAGCTACAAACAGAGAAGCCCTCAAATAAACTCAAATCTGCCAAGTCCAGGTGACTCAGCTGACTTCAGCTCTTGTAAAAGCTATATAATCTTTACAAAGACAAAAATTGAAATATTATAGATGTAAGCTATTGTGCATCATTTTACGCACACTTGCCTATAATCAACCTGACATTTGATCTTCTTTGGAAGACCTCCGCAAGATTTCAAAACACAGTTCTGTGGGTTTAAATAATGTTTGACGGTACAGCACAAGTTTGTAATGAGTGACCTACCAGTGAGTCAGTTGCACTTAAGAGGTTAAAGCAATTCAGAATCAGAAAATTTCAGGGAGGATTCTTCCTTTACATATTTCAAAAGCACTGCCGTAGGGCTGCATTATAAGAGCTTCCCATTAAAACATTAAAAAACAAGTGGATGTTGTTTGGAACTCTGTGGAATTTGGTACATGTAGTGGCAGATAATCATGATCGTCTGGCTCTATTCTGCAGTATAAACCCCCAACTTAAGTGATTTATGTTGACAGTGGCTTGTCATTGTCAACTGGGCCAAATAACTTTATACCTCCGGATCGCTCTTCATACAATATGTGTGATAATATACAAGCAACATTTTTTAATCCTTTCCCTGATTTCTCTTTCATTGGACAAGATCAAATGAACTCTCCAAACCGTTCCAGACTTCCTTGAGCCACAGAGAGAGGTTGAATAGCCCAGACAACCCCAAAAACTCTCAGATTAATGGCTTACTTTATCACTGACGGACATGGACTGGTCCTCTGACCTCCACTGTGGCCCCAGCATTCAGACATGATTAACTTATTAGCCCAGGGGAGTGAGCCATTACTGGGGCTGTGGACAGCAAGGGAAGAGGGTCTATTTGGAAATTAAGTGAGCTACTTCACAGAGACAATCTTTAAAAAAGACCTTCCTTCATACGTTTATATGTTCTCCTTATTGGTGGAGAAACCTCAAACATCTCATCAAATAATACCTCAATTATCTCTCCAACCAACTTGTTGACACTTCTTTGTATTGTATGATGGTGAAAAGTGAAACTTCTGTAATGACTTTATCAGTACGTGTGTGTGTGTATTTGGTTTGGCATGCCTGCCAGGCTGCACTGATGCAGCCGTGTTAACTTCACTGTTCTGTGTGTATGTGTATGAGAGCGTTCTCCACCTGTTGTTGGGGGGAGGCAGCAGTGTGGGAATGGGAGGCAGCTGTGCCCCTAATAACCCCACATGCACACACACACACACACACACACACACACACACACACACACGCACACACGATACTGTGACCCCATTGCTACCAACTCCTAACTTATCCATACAGAGTGAGGCTAAAGCGCTCGACAATATCATCTTACTCACATGCCCTCTCCTCAAGTGCTGAGACTGACTGCTCTTATTGCACTGATTTTATGCACATACACTGCCACTACTTACACTCACACACACACACACACACACACACACACACACGCAGACATAGTGCTGCCAAACAGAGCGGCCATGCTGTAACTTGATCTGGTCAAGGGGAATGCTGCTCATGTGTGGCATGTCAGGCCTTCCTTTAGATGCTCTTCTAAGGCCTGCTCTGTCTATTTACATCGCACAGGGACCTCCTTTGCTTTTACTGCTTAGCTGCCAACACATCTACTGTACAATGTATTTCTTCATATAAGTACCTCATAAATAACATCTTCATATTTGATATCAATATTTTCATATTGATCCACCTACAGCTACTAAACTAAGGACAACCTTACCTTAGTTCTTAAACAAGTTCTACACTGATTAGCATTGCGCTCTGATAACACTGTAGTACTTTTAGACAGTAGAAAAAAAAGGATAAAAATGTATGCAGCAGGATAAGATATCATCTTTTATTATCGATACATTCTTCTTCTTTGTCAAAACCTGGCACCTACCCACAGTGCAACTTGACCAAGGTTGGAGATTTGTGTGTGCTATGCTAGTAGTGGCTAGTGTAGCCGTGAGCTGCTAGCCTCAAGCAGAGATGAGGAGCAGACTACAGAGGCCTGATAAGCTCTCTTCTTTTTAACTCCAGGGCCCCAGATTTTTATCATTTTCAAACTTGTAGTCTACAGAACCAAGAGACGTTGACTCAAGTGACATCACTTGAGTCAATTTATCAGACTTCACACCAAGCCCCAAGGAACAGAGCGAGGCTGTGATGACATTTTGGCCTAGCGGACAGTGTATGCAACTTCCGCATTGATGCATGCATACTGGCCCACAAAAGCATTTTTGCTATAAAAAATTATTGGAAAAGGACACACCTCTTTTCATTATCAGATCCATTTGGTCCAATAACATTTGGAATGTCCCATGATTAAATTAGTTTATCCCGTTCATGTGTGCAGGGAGCCAACCGGAAGTCAGCTAGCTCGACCAGCTGAAGTTTTGGAAATGCATGTGCTCAACCGTCTCAGTTGGAGAAGGACTCATGAGCGTGTTGTATGTGCCCAAAAACACGTAAGTGCAGAGGCCTTTTCGCAGTATGCATCCAGTGAGCATCAAAGACTGGTAAAGGGGGAGTCAGCTAGCCCTGCTCTGTCCAAAGGTAACAAAATCCACCAACCAGTGACTTCAATGCTCTTAAATGGATATGTTATATCATGCTTGTTTAATCTGAAATAAAAGCATAAAAAACGATAATTAGCCATTGTACAGGGGAGTGGGGGGGTTGTGCAACGTTGTTTATCTTCATCACTTAAAGCTTCAAAGGTGCTGGTGTGTGGATTTTGTCACCTTCAGACAGAGCCAGGCTAGTTGTTTCCCCCTGCTTGCAGTGTTTACATTAAGCTAAGCTAAGCTAAGCATAATTTCCATACAGCCTGAGGCTAGGACCGCATTAAAAACACAAATCTAATGTAACTGCTCTCCTCTGCTGTCAGCCAGCTTGACTCTTCCCTGTCAAAACGTCCTTAATGGAGCTGATGCAGCAAAATCTCTAATGAGAAACATTTTCCATGGAGGCTGTTATTCATTTTCAACACCACTGAGAGGCGGTCATATCCATCGAATTCCTGTTTACAAAAGCTCTAACTGGACCTAATTAAGCATCCAAAAACAATAAATCACTAGGCCTCTATTCCAACATGGATCCTAAAAAATAATTGGCCCACTAATTCAAAACAGTGACATTAGCTTGCCTCTGTGACCTCTAGGCTACCTCTGCCCCAAATGAGACATGAACCAACACCAAACTACTGGAATACAACTATCTGGAGTGTAACATACCTGGACTGCATCTCTTGTGTCTTGAGGCTGCTGGAGGACGGTACGGGGCTGCTGGTCTGCTGGCTGAGCTCCACCAGGGATTGGTAGTACTGCTGCTGTTGCTGCTGCTGCTGCTTGTAACGTGACAGGATGAAGAAGAGACCCAGGATGCTCTTTAGGTTGCCATTCCTGATCTCTGAAAGTGACAAAAAATAAGGACAATTTGAGCATCTACTTTGTGCTGTGGTACTTAAGAGTGCTACTCCAACATGATGTGAAATCATCCAGCATCCATGTTTTAATACTGTACAGAGTGATATCCAGCTTTACCCTGCATGCATACAAACATTTTCTTGGAATAAAGTCCTTTTTGTCAAAGGACTTTTGTTTTTCATGTGTTTCCAGACCACTTATTGTATCTTTCAAACACTGTAAAGTGAACATACTGTAGTTGACTTTAAAAAAAAGCCACTTGGGGATAGAGCTCAGGTGCAGCTGTTTTGGCTTTAAGGGAGTAGATATTTATACTGTGTATAATATGCACAGATATAGCATATACAGATAATTTAGGCCATTGCTCCCAAGACAAACCAGTTGTCATAGATCCAGACTAAACTATCTGCTCACATACATGAGCTAACACACAGCTGGTTCATTTAGGAGCATAGCTCAGCATGGGACCTTCTGGACTGGTGTTTAACTGGCAGAAGTCTGGTGTGAGGGCAAGTCTGAGGCCAAACAGCCAAAAATAGACTACTTTAATTACAGTTCTTCTTTTGCCATGAAGTGAGGAACTGATTAAACACTGTATTTACAGGTGCAGTGTACAGCGGTGGGCTGATGGCAGAAGTGACCCATCAAAGAGATTATATTCCTGTTTTAGGTATAAGATCTCAGGGGTGCAGTCTATAAGAGACTGCAGCCCTGCAGATGAAGTTGCTTATTTGGTATGCTGAGCTGGCAACAGCAAGGAAGCTCCTAATCAATGAGCAACTTTGTCTGGAGTGTAAATCTTATCCTCAACAGTTCCTGAGTTCATCTTGGACAAAACTCATACAAATGCATCTCTCACAGACTCCTACACATACAGTCGAGATGGGATTCAGCAGTCACAGGAGGAGGAAGAATTGATCACTGTGGCTAACGCACCCATTTGTGAAATGGACTTTTCATATCATACCCTCAGTGAGAGCTGGCACACAGAGGCATGGGGAGGATAGTAACAGCTGACGCAGGGCCTTTCACTCGATTTATCAATCTGGCGAGGCTCAAACATTCTCCCCAGCCATCCATGGCTATGCTGTTTGTAGACAGTGAACGTTGGAGAAGATTAATCTCTTGGGGTTGTTTTCCATTTTCAAACACCCAGAGGCGCTAATTTATACTGGGCCTTAGAGAGAGTCTGAACAGCAGCCTTTTCTGTGCTTTAGGGAGAGACAATGTTGCAGATTCAGCCGACCAAAGAGCGCTGCAGACTGAAACTTTTGGCAACTGTAAAGGTAATAGAAATGATGATGATGACATGAGAAAGAATAAATCTGCCCCCATCTCAACAGGGAAGTTGCCCTGCAGGTCAGGGTTGGCTATAGAACAGATAATTTCAGTATGTCTTACTCAAGGAAATGTCTTGATGGTGTAGGTTTGCAGCAAGGTTTGGTCTTGTTAAAAATGTACTCATAAAACCTTCATGATTTCAGCTTTCTGCCTACTTTCACGTGTTTGATCATATTACTACAGAACAAATCTTGGGCTATGTAATATTTTAGCATGGAAAAACTGTACATACTGAAAGACTGAAAGGAACAGGGTGCTAAGAGGGGTCTTGTACCTCAGATTTGCCCAGGACCCCTAAGCATGTCATTTCTAGCCATGACCTGTATGTGAAAGATCTTTAACAATGGTTCAGTGATGGAGGATGGTCCAAACATTATTATTGGCATTTTCTTTGCTGTGATATAATTTATTATCTTCTGTTGTCTTGTTATGTGATCTAGTCTGAGAAACTGCATTAAAATGCAGAGAATCTGCTTCCAGCAGCAGTAGAAAAATATAGTATGATTCATATTTTTACTAAGGGATCAAATATGAAACATATGACCATATGCAATTCTGTCCAATATCTAATACTGAAGGTGTTTGTTGTGGATGACCTTTCAAAGTGAAGTGCTATGTATGTCCTAGACAGCTCATTAAGTCTTCTTCGTCTTCACTCTCACTGGCTATTCTCCATCGCAGTTAATTTCACACAACAGGATTTCAAATCGTAAATATAAAAACACATTTGATATTTACGATTCAAAATCGGGGAGACTCCGATTCAATAGGTAACATTAAGATTATGTCTACAAACCCCTCAGACCTCAGAAATATTTGCGCGGATAATTGGTTCAGACCAGCCTTAAATCGGATTGAACCATGATGCAACCTCCTCTAACATCACTCGACCCATTAGCTAGTTCTCTGTTGCCATCTTTCAGAAGTAGACCATTTATATTGTTTGTTAAAGTGATGTTGGACTTCGGCTCCTTGGTGTAACAAAATCAGAGTGGATGGTTAGCCATGCATGACTTTGTCTTTTGAGGGTTGAGGTTAGGTACTAAAACACCTGGTTTTACATTAGGTAAAGAGTGTGGTCTTGGTTAAATATTGAAAAAGATGACTCGGTGATAAGGCAAAATTGCAATACTTTGCAGATATGTAGTATCAATACTTAATCAGTATGTTGATGTATAAACATCCTACATAACGTGTTGGCCAATGCAAAGTACTTATACTTAACACCAATATATAAGTAATTATATTGGTGTTGCTGCACAATATTTGAAAAATAATCATCTGCAGGATTCATGCATGAAAGGGACTTTCTGGGACTGTGCTACATAAAGTGACCTTCAGCTTGAACTTCAAGCACTCTTACTGGCAACACAGACAAAAGAGCACCTTACTGGCTTTTTCTTTCAAAATGATGAAGAGAGATATCAGCCCTTAAATATTTTCAGCTTGACCATCAATTGTCTGCAGCTCAGCGTGTCATCAGGCCAAAGTGCGTCTGCTGAAACTGTATTTTAAAACTCTTACAAGGTGCCACCTTGTGCTCTCTTTATTGTTGCACCCTTTTCAAGTAAGTGTGAGTTTTGGGAGACATTGTGATGGAGTAAATGATAGCTAATAGGACACTGGGAAAGCTCCCACTAGACATTTTTGTAAGCAATACACAGCCTTTTCATCCGCTGAAAGCAGGAGGGCTCTTGCTGCTCTAGAGCCGTGTAGAGGATAAGTGTTTCTGTTTGGCCCATGCTCAATGAGAATATGCCTTTGCTTCTGGAGGCCTTTTAAGTGGTTGATGTGGTTTCATTCCATCTTTTTCTTCTTATTTGGAGAGGTTAGTTATTTCCTGAGTCACAGGGGACTTTGGAAGAGATGAAGGAGAGATTCTAGCATGGCTGGGTAATGCAAAGCAGAATTCTGTGTGATCATTTAAGGACTATATATTCTGTATTTACCTCAGACAAACCCTTGAAAAAACATGTCAAGCCAGGGTCTCTTTTTACAACTCCACAGGTGGTTGTGTCTTTGCTTCCACTGCTGCCCTTGACTTCATTGTGTAAGCTTGGTTTTAATTCCTTTGCTTGACATCCATTTAGTTCTGAGATCTCAATTAAGTTTTCAAACAACTGTCCCACTTTTATGTTTTATTTTATAGCCCAGTATTTATTACACAGTCTGCCATTTTTTTGCAGCCAGAAAGGATAGGCAACACACTAAACTTAAAGCCTTTCCCTCACCCTAGGCCTCGCCTTATGGTCAGAGAACAAGTGTGTACCCCTCGCTGACCCAGCACAAATGAGTGTATAAGTGGACTAATGAAATCAACCCTGTTTTTAAGAAAATTGCACCCACTGAGATCAAGCAGAAGGACTTTATTGTGGTGTAGAGGTTATACTGTAGGTTTCCTGCTAGCACTACAACCAAGCAGACCTGTTCTGCTAAGGTCTCAGCGGCAGTGGAAAGAGGCTTTAACGACCTGTAGTGAAGACCCCACTGTAACCCATTATCAACTGCAGGAAATGCATATTTCAGAGCTTTACACCTTTTTTTAAAGGCTGGTACCGGTAGACTGAACTTCCTGTAGATAATTATCACATTTCGTAGTAAAACTTTTTTTGGTTAGTTGGTTTTGATTATTTTTTGTGCTAAGGGGTTAATAGAGTCTGAGTAGGTGGAGCATTAACAGGACTAAGAGTCTACAGCCACACTTGTGGCTCTGCTGAATATGCGCAAAGCGGTGCTTGGGGAAAAAAGCATTGTTGCACAATTTTAGTTTAGAGTGTTAGCATGCAAACATACACTAATTAGCACTTAACACAAAGTACAGCTGAGGCTGACAGTAATGTCATTAGTTTTTAGCAGGTATTTGGTCAATAAACCAAATTAATTGACAATTTAATAATCTGGCCTGATGGTGGCACTAAATTATAGGTTAAAGTATCACCAGTTATTTGGATTTATCCTCAGGAATACATGAATGTCTGTGCAAAATTTTATAATTAGTCTTGACCAAAGTTGTATATTGACAGGCTGACATTGCCATTGGCACTTAAGTTTATGGGAACATGACATCTGTGCCAAATTTTGTGGTAATCCATCCAATAGTTGTTAAAACATCACCAAAAACATAAGGGTTCATCATCTGGAAACCATGAATGTCTGTTCAATCTTTGTGCCAATCCATCTTGTTAATGTTGAGATAGATAATTGAAAACTTTGACCTGCTGGTGGTGGTAGATGAAGAGTCAGGGGGATTACCAAAGTCATTAGAATTAATTCTCTGGGACCCTAAAGTATGTACGAAATTTCATGGCAATCCATTCTATAGTTGTTGGATTAAATGCAGAGGTTGTATTGTGCTCATTTTCAAATCTATTTAGGGGTTGTACCAGAACAGGTTTACATTGTTAATTTTTTTTTTAAACAAACATGTCATACTGCACATTGCATCTTGTCTCTAAATGATCTTTGTTGGGAGTTGCACATGCGCAGTTCCTAGTTAAGGACTACTAGCCAATCAAGAGCAGAAAAGGGCGGGTCAGTGAGAAGCCGGTAAACACGGCTTTGGTTCAGCTGTAGGCTACATGTTGCCGACCAGCTTAGCAACATAGACTGGAGCAAGAGTTTCAGAGTGGTGAGTTATTAATCTGTAACAAAAGTATCTTTCATTCATAAAGTTTTAACTGAGCTCTGTCTCTACATCACAGTAACAACTTTATATCCATTGACTGCCTGGAGGGAAGCTAGTGTTTGGGAGGGAGAGGGGAGGTGTGCTGCAGCTCACTGTTTTTCCACCGGTGAAACATTATTTTCTTTTCTTGTGTTGAAGAAATGGCTTGTTTCATTATGCCGTATAACCTTCCTTAGGGAGAACCACAACTCTCTTCAACAAAATGAGTTTCTCTGGAACTTTGGTTTACAGCCTCCCACCAGAAAGATGCAAGGGGACTTCTAGAGAGGTTATTACAATAAGTAGCCTCTGTTAGGAAAAAAAATGTTTTATTCCCACCCATTGTAAAAAGATAATAAAGACTTCACATGCCAACCAACAGAATCTGGAAATCTCTGAGCTGATTCAATTAGACATGAGAGGACAGGCATGGCCATCTAATTCATACACAGGACATGCAGAGTAATCTTTGAGAATAAGGCAGACAAAGGCAGCGAGGGGTAGATGAGTTGACAGGTAATGATCACTGAGCGAAGGGAGTGATGAAATGTAGCAGCAACAGTGATAGACAGAGTAACCCAATAGCCCATATATTTACAGACCCACTTTAAAGTTCCAGGCCTTGTGAGTCACTTTGCTGTTTTTAGTGCTGTAGTGGGGGGCACTGAATTTAGAGCTGTTGGTCAGTGTGTCAGGCTTTCAGACTATTTCTGCTGAGAGGTCAAGGGCACAATCACCTCCTTAAAAGCGGAGCAGATGCTAAATGGGGCCTGGGCAAGCACAGGTCCTAATAACCAGCAGCAGAAATGTTCTGCTAGAATAATGGAGGCTTTGCTTGAACGAATTGGTATGGGACTCCAGAAAAACGCAATCAGATAAAATGAGTTTAATAAAACATGTATGTTGACATGTTGATTATTAAATCAAGACGAAGATGAACTTAATGGTGAACTAAGTGAGTGAAGGGCAACGACACCCCAGTGATGTCAATATCTGTCCTGTTGTGTTCTATGTAAGCATGCACACTGGGAGCATAAAGATACACCACAAAGTACCCTGTTTCTCAGAGTTGACACCTGTCCGGTAAAGACACAGCTGCTAACATTTTGGAGGTACGAGCTTTTCACAGGACAGCAACATTTTGCCCTCCAGATCGTGACATGCTAAAGTAGTAACCTTGACTACTTACAAAAGTGTCTGGTGTGTGCGCTAACGGTGTCAAATGGGACACATCACCTGATGCAATGCTTCGCACTGCAGCTGATGTGTTTCTCCCTTAAGACTTTACAGATGTTCTTTGCATGCATGAAAAAAACTGGCATTCATTTACAAACTTTGAGGGAATCTTGGGTTCCTCCTGCAGAGTCAAAATCAAGTGTAAAATAAAAGCATCACGCATAGTTTGGAACTTAACTGCAATTTTAACCCCGGCCTTGTGAGACAATTTTAGCTGATTATTCAATTTGGCAAGAAGTTATTCAGTACAGAGCACTGCTGTAGTCAAGGCTGTCATATAAGCCATGTTCTGTATACCCTGATGGTCGGGAGGCAAATCCCTCTCTGGAGTTTTTATTCTCCCACAATCCCCTTTGATGCCCTAATGACTGCCTTCACTGCCATAGTGAAAGCTTGAGATTGAGAAACTGTACACCCCGTCATGATACCAACATGGTAAATTCCATTGCTGTGAAATATAATAGTATGTCTTGGAAATATATTTTTTTCTTAAAGATATTTGGTACTGTGAAGACACGAAAAGCTACCCACACAGGCCTGGGTTGTGCTGGAGCCAAATGAATTTTCCAGGTCTAGAGATTAGCAATACAACAGGGAGATCCCTCTTCTGCTGCTCCACTGATTCAATTAAGAGTTTAATCAGGCCTTGAATTGCATATTGTTTATTCTTCTTACCTTCTGCTGAGAGCCCTTGTACATTCACTCCTCTGGCGTCCAGGAAACTGAGGCAGGCGTCCACATTCTCGATCTGTCGAGAAGACGGCAGACAATCAGCACAAAGGACAGACACAGCAAGAATGTGACAATACTTAACATTCAATGAGCCTAAATGTCTCGGGGCAGAGGGCTCAGAGGACGGGGACGATCAGCGTTATTACCCATAAAGCACGTCATTGTGTGGTTATTACCCGACCCCCGCTCAACCCTGGGACCCGGCTGCATGACATAGTGACCGCAGTATGTCGCCACCTACACAGCCCGGGGTGCAGCCCACTTAAGCACGTCACACACAAGCTCATATGCATGCACGTCGGCAGTAATGCGATCACACAGACACTAGAGGCAAATTAACAGTAAATTCCCATCTATACACACACATCAGGGGACACTGTAGATAGAATCAAACACACACACACAAACACAGGGTGTGTAGCTCAGTGTGGCCCACTTGAGGCCTTTCACAACATGTCAAGAGCTGCCATCTCTGCCAACTGGTATCAGTTTCACAAAGGCCCACTAAAGTTGCAGTTATTGGGGGGATTTTTGCATTCCTTGACAGTGGCTAAAGAGTGGCTTCATTAGCATGGTGGCCAGCCGCCAACGCCCCTCAGGAGGTCTGTTGTGATGAGGTCAGAGGTTGCAGCGCTCTGCTTCAGCGCAGTGTGCCAGGGCCACACAAAGGGCAGACCGGGCAAATCAGCCAGACGTCCAGCAGGCAGTGATGATTCATGAGCTGTAACTGCTTAACTAGCGCTGTAACTAAAGCGTTCCCTCGCTCTCGTCATAATGCTCTCTCATGCAGTGTCCCAGTATATCTTTATTAGCAAGAGGGATATTTTGTAGAACCATATAATGAGTCATATCTGCACACAGGCCATTTGGATACTTGCTGATTCTTCTCTTGCTCCCACTGAGCTTGATTGTCCTCAGTGGTTTAATAATGTATTTCTGTGACATTTATTCAACTGAGAGAAACAGCCCTCTCTTAATGGTGCAGAAAGCAGAACATGGTTCATTTAGTAACGTTTGTTAGCTCATGAACATGCATATTTTGTAGTTTCAACAAACTTTTATGTTGAGATCTTTTTGGTTTAAGAATATAAATCCAGTCGTTTATGCACTCTGAAGTTTGCTGTATTTGAACTGAGAAGAAGCTAACTCAGCCCATTCGACATGATAAATGTCTGAAGAATGACATGCACATTACGGCAACTGTATAGAGATAATTATAGTGTATCTTTACATCCAATACCTTTATTCATAAAATACACAACATACAATCAAGCAATTCCGGCCTGATCCCTAGTAAAACTTAAGTCACTGACTGGTAGTTCCATCCATCCATCGTCAACCGCTTATCCTGCATACAGGGTCGCTGACAGCTGACATCAGGCGGGCTACACACTGGACTGGTTGCCAATCCATCACAGGGCCACACATAGACAAACAACCAGTCACACTCACGGGGAGAACATGCAAACTCCACACAGAAAGGCCGGGGCAACCGGGGTTTGAACCCACGACCTTCTTGCTGTGAGGTCACAGCGCTATTCACCGGACCACCGTGCCGCCCTTGACTGGTATTTGAAGTACAAAAAGGTCAGTTCAAACATAAATGAGTAGTTAAAGTGGTTGTATTATGCTTATTTTCAGTTAATATTTATATTTAGGGATTGTACCAGAACAGGTTTACATGGTTTAATTTTCATACTGCACATTGCTGCAGCTCTGTGCTCTGTTTTAGCTATGGAGTGAAGCATATCACTTCTACAAGATCTTTGTTGGGAGATGCACATGCACTTTAAATAGTTAGGGACTACTAGCAGAGTAGGGCGGGTCCTAACAAGCCGGCAACCACTGCTTTGGATGGGAGCTAGAGTTTCAGAGTGGTAAGTTTTTAATCTGTAACAAATTGATCTTTTTTAAGAGGAGTGTTTTCTGTGTGAAATGGTAACTCCCTTTGGGGTGGCTTTTTCATTTTGCAAACCTATTACATGCACAGAAAAGATATATAACATAATATAGGAAAGGGAAAAAGCCAAAATATCACCTCTATAATATAATATCATCACAAATACATGTTGGTGTAGTTCACAACATTAAAAAAGTATCAACAGCTTTTCAGAAACACTGTTTTGGTTTTAGAAGAAATAATAATGAAATTGTTCAGTGAATTAACCAGAGCTCAGTCAGCCTCACTCACATGGAATAGATTATATGTCAATGTTGTACAGTGTACAGAGACTCTGACCTTTCCACTCCCCACAAGGAAGCACCAAGCTCAGCACAAAAGGGAGTGGGGAGTGCTAATACTAACAGTCCCGCATGAGGTGGAGGTGGGGCTTTTGAGATGCTATTTGAACAACGGCAGCAGAAATGTGGAGACTGTCCTCACCATGAAAAGCAACGGCATCAGTTCCTTCAGAAAGTGCCCCGAAACTACATCTGTTTACGTTCAAATTACAGAGTCCTCTAGCGTTGCCATACAGCAACAAAGTCTCTGTAGGGAGGAGGTTGGGTGGAAGGACTGGTCAACAAAACAATAGACTTGAACATTGGACATTGCTGTTCATTTCTCATTTACTTCCAAAATCATTAAAAAAAATCTTTTGGTAGTTTTTTAAAGGATTATCACTATTGTCCCCTAATCTTAACAACTTGCTATTTAATGTCACTATGGCAACAAAGGCCCACCCAACCCTAACGCAACCAAAACCATGATATTTCCCTAAACCTAATCAAACCTTAACTATAACATTGTCACATATAACACAAGTTAATTTTTTTGGGATTTATAATGACTTCGCCCTGGTGATAGAGGTGTCAGATCATTCTGCAGGGCATGGACACGGCAGCAAAAGAATGAGTAGGAAACTAAGTATACCATCATGCTTAAAAGGGCTTGTCGGATTCATATTGCAGCGAGAGGAGCATGCAATGTGAGCATGATGGCAGATTTGAGCTGCACCTTTGAGAGCACCTCCCCCGCTGTCACTTTCTCTCCACAGACTGATGTGTTTACACTGGTTGTATCAACACGGAGCCCTGTGGGACAAGAAGTCACATACAGGGCTTCTCCATCTGCCTGACACAACTCACAACCTCCCACTTCCCAATGCCACACACATTCCCACAGCAGGCACCAAACTCCCTCACATGTGGGCTTCCATACCCTCTTCAAACATGCTGCACACACAGACTGACACATGTGCGGCCGGCGTGCCAGCTTGTTACCCCACACACGCTCTCAGAAGTTTGTATGTGGACAGACATGTGCAGTGTTTGCAAATGCTCATTAGCGCAGTCTTAGAATGATCGTAGGGACGATGTGGGATGTAGCGGTTCTCAAACTTTGCCAAAATGAACAGCCGATAGGCACGGATGATCTGTAATAAGCAATATTTGCATGATAACAGTTATTTTTTGTTGAGGGACAACTAAATAAGGCTTGGAAGGCCTTGCTGTAGCATTTTGCATCTGTTGCACAGGCAGCGTGTGGGTTCATCTGTGTGTTTGATGGCTGGTTTAATAGCTGACAAAGACAAAAAGGAGTGAACTCATAAACACACAGTAAATCCCTCTAGTTGGAGACAGATCTCTGTCTTTTACAGGCATCACCAATGCAACCCGTGCCTTCTTCCTCCAAGCCTTCAAGTGATACTCCAAACAGAAATTCTGAGGCTTTCAGATGAAACCGCTGTTTGTTTTTAGTCGGCATTAACTCTAAAATGACGTAAACAAGCAGAATAATGATTGAAGGCGTTGATGACGGCTGGGGCATTAATGTTCCACAGGGTTCTGGCGATGTTTAACTGCTAGTTTGGTGGGCGGTTTGGCTTTGCGGCATCCTGTAACAGCTTCTTGAGAAACCAACATCATTTAATTTTCCAATGCAGGCTGGCATCAGACAGATCCACATAAGCCATTAAAAGCAATTTGGAAAAGGGCATTTTGATGAGGCACAATTCACCCAATCATGAAGTACTTAGAGCAGGGAAAAAGGAGCACAATTTTAGGAGTGACAGGACGGCACATGTGCAACATGTACTGTGGGAATGAAAACCTGCCACTACGCCTGGAAGAATAATGAGGGGGAGCTGTTAAGTTTCAGTAATAATCGGCTTCAATTAAGCAATGTTTCATTTACAGAACCACACTACAAATCAAAATATCTTGTTCCAAATGACACAGTCAGCAGAGTGGAGAAAAGCTCGTACCATAGCTGTACAGAGTACAAAACCGCATTTCCTGCTTCAACCTGCCCCTCGCTGTCTCGTCTTAAATCACTGATAAGTTAGCATTTATGCTCCAGGTGGAGACTGAGGGAAAAGATTATACCTTATATCCATTACTATCCTGTACAGCACACAAGTCTTAAAAGACAGATTGAAAGTGCTCTATATTGGTATAGAACGTAAAGCAGTGATGTCCTTGTAACCTCTGGTGTTTGAAATGATGAGCCCTTCAGATTTTCAAGAAATCAGAGACTATTTATTCTTCAATGGCTATTCAATGTATTTGCATTCTGTAATTATCTGTCTTTATAGTAGCTTTCACGGTTAGTGGCTGAGTCCGCCATACTGGATTCAAATTGTCTGCTACACATGAAGGATTCACAGAACAATGCATGCATAGAATCCAGTGTTACTGTTAATGTTTCTCATTGATGTCAGAATCCGCGTTTATTGTTCACTGTCATAATGCTAACTCAACAGTTTCCACTGCTGCTGCATCACATTAAAAGCATTCAATAGGTAAAAAATTTATTGTGAAGCACTCGCAGGAAACGCAAAGTTTTTGTCACAGAGGTTGGCACTGACAGCGATGGTTTGTCAAGAATGCGCAAAACAAACCTTCTCCATGACAATTGAGCAACTCCATCCACTGAGGAAGGCTACAAGATGTGTTTTCAAGCTTGAGATGAGATGTTTTTGTTCAAATTGCTAAATCCAAGGTCAAGAAGGAACCTCTTTTAACTGCAATTGGTTAAAAGATCATCCCAGTGTTTTTGGAAATGGTAGCTGCTTT